TATGTTGTTCCGTTGTTTTTCTCTTATAGTTGATGTGTTTCCCTCGGTTTTGGTTTGTGACGCGGAGTTGTTTCAGTTAAAACGATTCATGACTATTGAACAGCGATATACTACTGTTGTCTTCATTTGGGGCAAACCCCTCAAACTAAATTCAAAGTGAACGCCTTTGCATAGACTAAATTTACATACACTTGTATTTATTATAGCTGATTTTGAATTTTTTTAACTTCAGAAATTAATTGTCAGAGTACGAAAAATACATCCGAACGTGCCGAAATAAACAACGCAAGTATGAAATTTGATTTGGAGTTATTTGTAATGATTTCAGACATAAAATGTACTTAATAATACATTTAAATTTGATTTACATGTTCACAAACAACCTATGATGAAATTTTTTTTAAGGGAAATTATAGCATTTATTTCGTCTTTCCTTTTGTATTTATAAAGAAATGACAGTCATCGGCGTGTCTGCTTTTTCTTAACGCCAAGAGTGGTTCGGCTAAGTACATAGGATTGGTAGTTAGAGATAAATCGATGAGCAGGAAGTATTTATCTAAATTAAAGATATGCTAATTTCGTCAAAAGTACACCGCCACAGCAAACTACATCATTTTAGCAAGGTTGGGTGACAAGACCTAGACAAAATTATGTAATTCAAAAGCCAGTCGTATAGATATACAAAAAGACTAAGCATTTGTAATTCACAACACGATTTAAATAATTTATTAATATTAACAAAGCAAATTGCGTTATAGATTAATATTTATCGTTTAAAAGCATTCAGTGTAACCAAAACAATTAGAGTTTTCAAATTTAAATCTGTATCTATTTGTATAAATGTACATACATGAACAATATTGAAATTATAAAATCAAAATATTGTATCGAAAGGTTTATTTAACCAGCAAACGTACTTAAGAATAATCTGGTTTAAGTTCTCATATTTTTTTGAAAAGGCACCTGTTTATATAATCAAGATAATTATCTATAACACCATCATATTATTTGAGGGAGTCATTTTTCTTTTCGTGTTAACATAAAACATTTTGTTTCATCAGCAGTATGCAGTTAGAGCTTCTTCTTCTTTTTCTTCTTTTTTTTTTTAAAGTAAAACAATACTTAATATGCAACAACAAAAAAACTAACATTTAGTGATTAGTCTGGAAAGTATTTAAACTCATATTTCCCGCTGTTCACTATATATATTATGTCCGTATCACAGACGAAAACGAAGTTTGGTTTGTATGATGATCGCATATGTCATATTGAATTTTATATGACAGATACACCTTGGTCTGTTTTCTTGGCTTTCACTTACCGTGAGAGTATAAAAAAGAACGAAACTTTTAGCCAACATATATGATTGTCGTTTTTTTAGGAACATTCAAACAACACTTATTTCATATACTTGCGTGCAATAAGGCTACTAATTCAAGAACATCTGACATCACCAGTAGATTTGCTGTATTTAAATGTTGGATTTTTCGTTGCGTCACTATCATATTTGTTATGACTTATATACATATATATATCACCGAAGGCGACGTATGAACGGACTGTTACTTATCATGCATAACGACGTGCATATATGTTCCAAGTATGCAGAACTGTTTAGCCTTCAAGACCATACTTTGCTTTTAATGAGGTTGATGTATTTCAACATCACGTAAATGGTGTTTTGGGGACAGTTGTCTTTGTTCGTATTTTTTTCGATTCATGAATTTTGATAAGGCGACATAAAGCATATATAAATCAATCAATTAATCAAGCAATCAATCAATTTTGACCTCCTCTTTTGTATCTCCATACTATTTTTAGGTAAGTGTACCATCATTGAATATATTCTAAAAGGTAAAAGGATCCAAATTGTGTGAAAGAAATGGTGTTACTTGACATTTTTAGAAATTAACCTGTGATAATATAAACGTCACAAAAAATATGCCACTTTTTGTGACGTTTGATCCATTCATGTGACGCGCAGTTTATATTTCGTTTGTGGTGTCCTGTTGTCCCTTGTTAATCTGCGGTTAACATGTTGTAATGTACTATTATATTATTCATTTATATATATCTTTGTGCTGAGTGTTCTTGCGTTTTTTTTCTACTGTATTCCTGGCACATAGTGTTGTCATTTTAGGGGTATTTTAATATTGCCATATAAGCGTGAGGTTTGGCTTGCAATAAAACAAGGTTCAACCCACCAACCCTACCAAGTCTTGAATATGGTAGTTGTTATAAGACAGTCCGTTTCTATGTATGTTGGCGTTTGGTTTTGTTGTAGTTGAGTGTTTCTGTTGTTCCGTTGTTTTCCTCTTATAGTTGATGTGCTTCCCTCGGTTTTAGTTTGTTACCCGGATTTGTTTTTGCTTAATCGAATTATGTGTACTGGGATTGTTTACCATCTTAATTACGCGTCATAGTGTTCTTTTATTTGTCTTTGTAAATTATTAACCTTTACCGTTTAGTCCATTTTGGGTACTTTTCTTTTGGCGTGGATCGGTATTATACATTCCGCCATTGTGTTATTGTGTTATTGTGCTATGGTCATGTTTTTGTATTCCTATCTGTTTTTGCTAATGTGCTTTGTCTATGTGCCATGTTTTTTTGTTGACATATTTGTTTGTTTTTATAGTGATTAAGATTATAACACAATGTTGACTGCTGTACCCCTATTTTTGACATTTTTGCTTATTATGTCTGTATGTTTTGCTCACATATTGCTGTCAATAACATGGAATTTTAGGCGACTAAGTGAGAGGTTTAGCTAGCTATAACACTAAGTTTATTCCACAATTTTCTACATTAGGAAATGCATGTACCAAGTCAGGAATAAGACAATTGTTTTCCATTCATTGATGTGTGTGTGCTTTTGATTTTTCCATTTGATAAGGGACTTACCGTTTTAAATTATTTTCCTTTGAGTTTGGTATTTTTGTTATTTTACCTTTTAACTAAGTATCATGCATCTTTACCGACACTTCAATAAAGACCTAACTCAGCACATTTGTTAACACCATTAAATAAATCATGTTTTATTTTATTAATAACAAGTGCAATCACTACTCAATCAGTAGCTTTTAATATTCCCAAGTACAAACGCATGCATTGTATATTAGAAGGTAATTAGCGTATTCTTTCAGAAATTAATAAATACTTCAACTTATTTTTGACAAACATTAAATGTGTATTTTATAATATTTAATAAGGTGGAGTGATTATATAGCACGTTATATGCATGCATACATTAATGCAAATTTCTGCACACATCAACAACTTTAGATATGTTACTATACTAACAGATAATTATAGATTTCAAAACAAATCTTTTGAATAATTTTGCATATGACAGTGTAACCAGCAGATATAAGATGTATTCGAAATGTAATGTAACGAATGGCCAAGCGTTTGAAGTATTTCAGCTTCATAGGTCACTAGTCTGCCAATTCTGAAATTTCGAGGATTGCCCGTTTCCCGCCGAAAGGGCGGTAGTTCTCTTCTGGTAATCGGATTTCCTTCACAAATAAAAACTGATTACCATGTTAAAGGCATGTGGGCTTAAAATGGCGTTAATCACCAGCAATCAATCAACCCCAGTTGAAACGTTTTTAAAAGGATTTGTTTCCAGTCAAGATATATCTTATTTACATATTTTTCAACTGTTTGGGTTTGAGCCTCCCCGACAAAGATAAATTCATAAAAGCGCTTTGCACGCACGGAATTTATAAAGTTTTATTTCATTTATATAGGGTACTTGCGTGCAATAAGGCTACTGAATTTAAGAAAAAATTACATCACTACTAGGTTGGCAGTTATTAAATGTTCGATTTTTGTTACGTCACTATCACGTTTGTTATGACTTATATCTTATCAACACCAAACGCGACGTATGAACGAGCTGTTACTTTTCACGTATAATGACGTACATGTATGTTTAAATTATGCTGAACTACTTACCTTTCCAGACCATACTGTGCTTTTAATGAGGTTGATGTTATTCATCTTCACTTAGATGGTGTTTTTAGCGGCTGTTAATTGTCCTTCTGTGTTTTTTTTTTATCGATTCGTGAATTTTGATAAGGCGACCTAAAGCATAATTATATTAATCAATCAATCAAGCAATCAATTTTGACACCCTATTTTGTATCTTAATACTATTTCTACGTAAGTATACCATCATTAAATATATTCTTGAAGGGTCGAAATCGTGCGAAAGAAACAATTTTACTTGACAAATTGTGTACCATTAATACAAAGACTTTAATCAGGTTAAACACGTTAGTAAATGCAAACATTCTAGAATTGGGAACTGTCATATTTGTGGTTCCTCTTTATTGTATTTTTTAATTATACAAACTTGCATCATTATTATTGAGATCAATATAAAAGCGCGATAAAACTCCTTTAAATTGTCATATTTTTCTATCATTTTTATCAGTTTATTACCGACATTTTAATAAAGAACAAAGTAAGAAAATTTATGTACAGCATTACATAAAAGAGGCTTTACTTTATTAATTACAGTTAAATTATTACATAATAAGATTTCTTTTGATTCTGTGTTGCTCGGTTGGTGTCGTAATGAAATTAATCCTGCATTTATGTGCAATAAAACAAATAGAAAGCACTAGCTGTTAAAAATTTCCCAACTACAAACCACATATAATAGAAGAAAGTTAAGCGTACTCTTTCAGAAATAAATAAATACTTTTAAGAAAACGTGTTTGACAAACACTCAATGGTTGTTTTTATTATGTTCCATAATGTGGAGTGATGATGTAACATGTCACTACATGCATACATGAATGCAGATTTCTGAACACATCAAAAACTTCAGATATGTTACTATACTAACCGGTAATTTTAAATTTAAAAACAAATCTTTTGAAAAGAATTTTGCATGACAGTGTAACCAGAAGATATTAGATGTATTTTGAATACACTTTCTTCTTTCAAGTGTTTACATATTGTACTTCATAATATTGCTGAATATACCAAAAATATACAAAAGCAGGTTAAATCGTGGGAGGCGCTTTTCTCATTGGTTCTCACAATATTTCATTTACGATATAAAAAGGCATCAATTTGGTAAGCTGTATACTGCAACTGGAAATAAAGGTAAGTGTATTACGATACAATTTATTTGAGAGAATGTTTTCATCGTGTAAATAGCCAAAATTTAATATAGGCAATTCGTTTCCTGTATTTTTGTAAGTTAATATGTTGAGTTTATTAGTAAAGGCTTACAAATCAAGATAACAAGCAAAAACCGAGAGAATAAGTCATTTGATTATGTTGTATAAGGATGATTATTTAGTACATATTAGGTGGGTTCTTCAAAAGAAGCAACATGGGATATAAAAGCATACTGTACTACTATAAATACAATTTGGTGTGCTTAAGGACAAACGTAGAAATCTAAATGATTTTTAAGACGATAATTTTGTATATTAAATAGTGCTTGGTATTATAGTACTACTAGTTATCATATCCAGTAAAGTATGTATTGATGGAAGACTTTAAAAGTCTTTGTTAAATTCATTTACAACTTTAGTGGACTACCATCTGATCATAGCATTAAGACGCATGTTAAAGGTTTAATGATCATTTGTTTACTTATAATTGTTCTTTGGTTTTGTGTAGTTGGATTAATGTCGAATTGAGATTTATCCCAAATATCTATTTATTCAAAGAGACAACTTTTGATGATGTAACATGTATATATCTTCGGCCTACTATAAATGTATTGAGACCCCATCAAGTTGTCTTTTTTTGTTTTTGTAACCGTACTGTTTTGTATATAATTCCGAAGTGATGTAATGGTGCAGAGATTGCTACTTAAATACGAGCTTGATCATATACTCATTTACCTGTATACGAACTTGAACATGTACTATTTTATTTGTATACGAGCTTAAATATATACTCTTTTTTTACTTGTATTAGAGCTTGAACAAATACTCTTTTACATGTATACGAAAGATACCAGAGGGACATCCAAACTCACAAGTCAAAAACAAACTGACAACGCCATGGCTAAAAAAAAAAAGACCAACAGACAAACAATAGTACACAAAACACAACATAGAAACTTAAAGACTGAGCAACACGAACCCCACCAAAAACTGGGGGTGATTTCAGGTGCTCCGGAAGGGTAAGCAGATCCTGCTCCACATGCAGCATCCGTCGTGTTGCTCATATTAGTACAAACCCGGTAATAAGTCTAATTCGGTAGGTCACATTCTGGAAAAGGGGACGGGATTATAGTTACGACATTAAGAACATATTCGCTATCATCTGTGAAACGGATATTCCATAACGGTCAACCAACTCGTGATGGCGTCCGTAAAACTTACGAAGTGATGACTTCAACTTCACCACTTGGAATTCTTTGTTTAATAGCTTCCTTGTGAGCAGCAAACCTCTATCAAGGAAATCATGATAGGAAATACAAGCCCTGGAATTTCGTATCAACTGGGTGATATATACTCCGTATGCAGGCGCTGGTGGAATGTTGCTACATAGAAATGGAGGTTCACAATTGGGAAGCTAAACACATCTCTTTTGTCGTAAAGTTTTGTTTTCAACGACTCTCATTGTCAATTTCTATATGTAAGTCATGATATGAGGCAAACTTAACTGTACTTGTTGTATCCTTTATCTCAAGTTCGATGGGATAGATGCGTTCAACATAGTCACCAAATTTTGAATTATTTAGTAAGAGAACATCATCTATACATCGGAAGGTAAAGTTAAATGATACTGCTAACTTCTTTTCTTTTTTCCTAAGAAGTTCCTGTATGAAGTCAGTCTCGTATGAATAAAGGAACAAGTCGGCAAGAAGAGGGGCACAGTTTGTTCCCATAGGAATTCCGATTGTTTGTTGAAAAACACGTCCTCCAAACGTAACAAATGTTGTCAATCAAGAAATCAAGCATCTTGATAATGTCAGTTTCACAGAATTTTTTGTTTGAATCAGAGTGATTTTTTTACAAAGTACGATTTATCCTTCCCTAAGAGAAGATACTTGTATCTACGTTGGCCATTATTTTTTATGAAGCAAAGCACATATACTCTTTTACTTGTATACGAGCTTGAACATATACTCTTTAATAACACGTTTTGATAAGAGCCGTATAAACTAAACTACATATTAACAAGCATAACACATGCATCATGTTTGTCTAGAGTACAACTAACTTAATGGCAATCCAATACTGAATTTTTTTTTCTATTTCAGAAAACTAGTGATAATGAAGGCTGTAGTAATATTTAGCTGTCTGTTTATGACAGTCTGTGGTAAGAAAATTATGTTAATACTTATACAAAAATATTTACCAAAAAATCTTTAGAAACGTTCCACAGAGTAATTACACTTGTAATTTACAATATGTTTATTTACATTTGAAAGGTTTAAAAGCATTATTTTTTTTGTCAATGACTTAAAATGAGGGTATATAACCAATCAATAAAAGTAGAAAAAAATCGACAAAATACATTTTCATGGACTCAAACATTTGTTTCGATCTTAAATTCCAAATATATCCCTTTTGGTCGATTATATTTGTATTGTTTGCGCAAACAATTCGTTATCACAATACTTGTTTGAAGCAGTGTGCGATCAAAGATAAGAGAATCTAAAGTTTTGTAAGTGTCCGACTGCGAAGACCTTAATGTTTTTTTTCGGCCAAACTTGACTTTAAAACAGTAACTCTTTGTCCATTTGAGACCAACATTGCTGTACATTGGCAATCATGCCACATATTTTTATTTTCATATAATGAAATTGTGATCATTTTTTTTTTTTTATTAAATTCATTTTGACCCATTTGCATTTTGAACTATGTCAACTTGAGTTTAGAAATAAATTGTAACAAATGTACGAGTTATATAATACAGCATGTATTCAATTGATTTTTTAAAAGCTTTTATAGAATAACATTTAGGATTATAAGGTTGGGAAATGGTACTAAATTTTTACTAAAGTGAGCAATGTCAATACCTTAAGCCGGGTGCTCTTCAGTGGGGTCTTTTATATGTGTTTTAATGACAAAAAATAAATACTCTTACACAAATCTCCGTAGAACTTCCACTTTGTTTTACCTTTTTCAAAAATGAATACCAAAATACATCTTTTCTATAAAATTTTCAGGAATGGGTATTCAAAAGAGAAATGCAGATCTTGGAGAAATGAATGGTGACAACGATGATTTCGCCATTGATTCCCTAATGAATTATCTCAGGTAAAACCAGTGTTGTAGAAGTTTTAGTTTAATGTGTATAAACAATTCATAGTTGATAATTTGTATAGTTTTATTATTCTGATGCTAATAAACTAAAATTTATAAATCTTGTATATGGCTTAGAAAAACTTCGAGATAAGGTATCTAATGGGCTTATCACAGTCTACCTAGTACTACTTAACAAACTAAGGACTGATCAATACTAACCCAATAAAAAACCGGGGTTAGAATCTATATTTCATTTCTGTTATTACAACATTCACTTTAAGTCTATAGCCAGTATTATGGTGAGTACTTACATCTCATATACTCTTGTTGAATGTCATCAATCTTCTTTCATCTATTTCCAACTTCCAATTATGAATCAGTAACATATTATCAGTCCAAGCCTTTGGAGTTTCAACATTATAGTTAATTTTCTAGAAGTTATTTTTATTTTGTACGTTAGTCGCCAACTAAAATGAATTGGTTGATCATTACACTCAATACATTTGAAATGATAGATACAACTTGAACCGATGTTATGAAAAAAATATTAAGGGGCAATACAAAAATCTAGGTGTGGTTAAACACTTCAATTTAGGCAGATTTTGAGTAATTTTAGGGACACTTTTTAATAAAAATCTAATTTTAATTGGAAACATATTAAATGTTGTGTATAGGATAGAAATTAATTTATTTATGTTAATGATGTCTTTTTTTCTACAACATTTAAAAATAACTTTAAATTTTCAATTATGTTTCAAAAATATTTAGAAAATAATCTTTGTTAATTTACACAAAATCTGTTTACTTGCACTCTGTTCGTGTTGTAAAGTCAAAATTGTTTGCTTATCAAAATTCCCTAAACATATATTAGCCAAGACCATTATAAATAAAATAATTTCACGAAAATTGATGTATTTTACCATATATCATATGTGATAAAGTATTGAAAGTTGCATTCTGTTATCGTTTATTTTGTTTTTCTATATATCAAGTGCATTAGTAAAAATAATTAATAATTCAAAAAATTCCAGTAGAATCATGAATCCTACTTACTATTGTTTTAAGTAATATCCTGGATCTTACTAGAAATTTAGTACAATCCAGAATCCTCCCAGTACAAATCTGGATATCTTAATTTTTACAAGTGAATAATGGAATTCCAATTTGTACTAGGAGGATTCTAGATCTTACGGAATTCAAATTTGTTCTGTAACACACACATGTCATACTTTTCACTCGTATTTGTTGTCTGTTTTATACCTGGACGTATGAGCATCAATATGTTCGTTACTTTTTCAATAGGAAAAGGTGGAGTATAGGAAGTGGCAACAAAGGAAATGGTAATGAAGCAAATAACAACAACAACATCGGTAATTCATATGAAGAATATAATAAAAATACACATGTAGCGGGGATAGGAAATATTGGTGACTTCGGAAAGAAACGTGACTGGTCAAATGAAGATAAAAGATGGGATATAGGCAGTGGCAACAAAGGAAATGGTAATCAAGCAAACGATAACAGCAACATTGGTAATTCGTATGAAGAAAATAATAAAGATACAAATGTAGGAGGGATAGGAAATATTGGAGACTTTGGAAGGAAGCGTGACTGGAGTATAGGAAGTGGCAACAAAGGAAATGGTAATCAAGCAAACAACAACAAAAACATCGGCAATTCGCAAGTAGAAAATAATAAACATACACATGTAGCGGGTTTCGGAAATATTGGTGACTTTGGAAAGAAACGTGACTGGTCAAATGAAGATAAAAGATGGGATATAGGCAGTGGCAACAAAGGAAATGGTAATCAAGCAAACGACAACAGCAACATTGGTAATTCGTATGAAGAAAATAATAAAGATACAAATGTAGGAGGGAAAGGAAATATTGGAGACTTTGGAAGGAAACGTGACTGGAGTATAGGAAGTGGCAACAAAGGAAATGGTAATCAAGCAAACAACAACAACGACATTGGTAATTCGCATGTAGAAAATAATAAACATACACATGTAGCGGGTTTCGGAAATATCGGAGACTTTGGAAGGAAACGTGACTGGTCATATGAAGACAAAAGATGGAGTATAGGAAGTGGGAACAAAGGAAATGGTAATCAAGCAAACAACAACAACGACATCGGTAATTCATATGAAGAAAATAATAAAAATACACATGTAGCGGGGATAGGAAATATTGGTGACTTTGGAAAGAAACGTGACTGGAATATTGGAAGTGGCAATACAGGCAATCATAATTCTGCAAGTGGCAATAGTAACATCGGCAATAGCGAGAAGTATTATGACAAAAATACAAATGTATTTGGGGCTGGAAATATCGGAGACTTTGGAAGGAAACGTGACTGGTCAAATGAAGGTAAACGATGGAGTATAGGAAGTGGCAACAAAGGAAATGGTAATACTGCAAACGACAACAGTAACATTGGTAATTCGTATGAAGAAAATAATAAAGATACAAATGTAATAGGAGCTGGAAATTTCGGAAACTTTGATGGGAAATGATAAATAAGGTAACTTGTTTCCAAGTAATGATTTTTTTATCGTGTCAAAAACAATTTAGATGTTGACTTAATCAGTCTGATATCCCTAGTGAACTAGTAAACCGTTTGTAAACTGCAACAGTCATTTTGATCTAACCAATGACTGGGCAATAAATAATTAAGCAGGATATGTTAACCCTTCCAGGGCACCTGAGATCAGCCCCGCATTTTATTGCAGTTCGTTTTATGCAGTTTTTAATTTATTTTTTTGTTAGTTTTGTAGACCGTTGTTTGTCTTAAGTTTTTGTTTTTGTCGTGGCATTGTCAGTTCGTTTTCGACATATGAGTTTACTTATTCCTTTGATATTATCCGCTTCTCCTTTTTGGGCCTTCGATATGTTTTGCCTCGCCTTTTGAGTCTTTGTTTTTTTTTTCAAACTTGATCACTGCAGGTTAATGCAGTACAACTCGCTTGCAGTCAATTGAGATTTGTCTAGTCTTTGTTCAGTCTTTGTTTTTTACCTGTTCAAACACTTACTTGTGTAAAAATATACTGAACAGTCCTTGATTGCCTGCTAGGAAAATGTCTGAACAGTACTGAATCAACAACAAGAAAATATCTACAAAATAACTTCAAATCTTAACAATATTTAACGTTTTTAGTATCAGGCTTTTCAGTTGATATTAAGACCAAAAAGACTTAATTTCATTTACTGTATAGATTAAATATTATACATATATAGTTGAACATGAATACTAATAAAACGGTACAATATATATAATTCACATTAAATATTGTCAACTAAAGAAGAAATTAGATAACCATTGTAAAGTTAGTGAATATAATAACATTTAAACAATGTGTAAAAACAAAAACCTCGTAATGTACTTTCCTTTACTATTTAATTGTTTTTTTGTTTTACAGGTAAAGAAAAGAAGTAAGGACATTTACCACCAGTCTTCTTTTCATTGTGCGTGCGATGCAAATGTATCATATGTTACTGAACAATTAACTTGTTTTTCATTTACATTTTTGCATTAGTTGTTTGCAAGTAGAATATGATTAATAATTTAAATATACAACAACTTCACCATATGTAGATATTTTACAAAAATATATTTAGATATATGTTTTATATTAATAAGTATATTTTCAGCAAATAACTAAGTGTTAGTTTTTCCTTAATCGATTTGTCTTCATAAAGAATACTACTTATTTCAATGTATTTAAGGTATTAGATTGTGTCCAGTTTTTATTCAAACAATAGTAACTTCCCCACTCAATAAGGTCTTGAGCCTGAAGTCCGAAATTAAATTGAGATGTCAGATATGACTATGAAACATTTTCATAAAAGGCAATCCATGAAAAGGGCAGCTGTAATCCATTTTTAAAGTAAATTGATCTATTTTCATCTGTAAAAAAGTTTCATTATTAAGATAAATCATTGATATAAGTTAATTCTATGGATACTTGGGTTTATTTCATTCCACACATCAATCCTGTGAGTGAAATTATCAATTGTGTGTGCATATGCATTTTCATCGTTAGCAATGATTAATTGCTCGATAAAAAATAAATACATACTTGTTAATTTTGAAATCAAAAGTTTTCCATGAAGTTAAAGACAAAAATGTTCTCCGTTGTGCATTTATTCAAAAATAGATATTGCACATCCAAAGCCAATATTATTTTTATTTGTTCCTTTCCTTAAAATGTTAACTAAATTTTGGAATGATAAGATGAATTTATTGTTTTTTATTTGATGTTTTGAAACTACAGGTAAAATGTTGAAAATTAAAGGAGTATTGGAACATCACGTTTTATAATATTTTCATTGGACTACAAAAAGAGTAAGAATATATCAAAGGACCAAACACAAACCTTAGAAAAGAAACATTTAATATGACATTTGAATAAGAGTCAAGTGAACTAATCTGAGAAAGATAGACTAATACATTACACTATCTTTATAATTTTTTTTGTATTATATATACCACTACATCATCATACTAGTTTTTGTTACACTTTTAGATATATATATATATATGTTATATTTCAATACTGCTAAATACTCGCTTTTTTGTAACAAATTTTTATTTGAAATAGTTTATAGTGTTTAATAAAGGTTTTAATTGCACAAATACAATTTTATGATTTATCTATCTGTCTTCCTTCGACTTGTGGTGTTTTCGTTTTCCCCTTTGGTTTAGCAGTTTTACAACTTGCTACCTTTCTTTTGTCTACAATTTTCTACAAAATGTGTAAGCTAAAGGAACGCAAAAAATATCATAAGTAGCTACCTATTAAACCAGGTTTAACCCATCATTTCGTCGGAAGATGCCTGTACCAAGTTAGGAATATGGCAGTTGTTTTTCTTTTTTTCCGTTGATTAATAGGTTTGATTTTGTCACTTTCAATGGACTTCCCCTCTTTGAATTTGCCTTGGAGTTCGATATTTTTGTTATACTTTTTTGTTATAAATTGGCTAAAAATAAAACGAAAACATTGATACTCTCTTTAAAAGGTTTGAGCTGAGGATATTGTCATCAATTGACATAAAGAACCTTAACAGTCAATGTGACATCATTCAGTCTTGCTACATCCAAGATTGTATTGTTATAACTAACAAAAGTCGTATTCCTTATCAACGCAGATAAGAACTATAGATATATATTTTCCAAAATTCGCAGCCTTCATAATAAAGAAATAGTATGTTGTAATGATAAATGGTCAATGCTGAAATGGGCAATAGTGCATTCTGCAATATTGAATCTTGCAAAGGGGGGCAATGTATTGGGTTAACACCGTCGTAAATAGTTTTTATTTCAAATATGAGACTTTGAGATGAAGAGCAGCAATGTTCCTTTGCTTTTAGTGTGTCTTTTGCTGGGCATGTACTGATTTTGTGTGATGGATGGATACCTCGTGTCCTCTGTTTTTCTATTGCTTGTATTTGCACTCTTTCTATTTCAAAAAATTACAAAGGAAAGAATTAAGACTTCAGCAGATGTAAGCATTACATACCAGTAAAGGTTAAGATAAAACAATTATATATAATAAATTAAAATTATGAAGTTGTTTTCTTTGCTTTTATGCTTAAATAAATTAAACATTCGATGACAGGTTTTTTTTTAGATTCGTAGGATCGAATGTAGGTATAACTTTAATCTGCTGGATGAAGAAAAAACCGATCTTCTTTTTAGTTCTTAGTTTATTAGTTTTTCACGGCTTTTCTTGCATTTCTTAACACGAATCTTTTCAACGAAATGTTCTCCTTACACGAAAGCTATTTAACTAAGAGTTCGAAATGGTCAAATTGCTAAATCTATTGTTTTATGTGTAGTGCATATTCCGGATTGTTTTTATTTTCTTTTTCTTTTTGTAAGTAAAGGTCATGGTATGGTGTGTTTGATTTTTTTAGTTTTTGATTAACCCTTTTGTTTCTTCATTTCCTTGTTATAGATTTCAAATATTAAGAGCTTTACATGCATACCGATCCCGGCTTGAGAGATTTAATTAAAGTATAGTACTTAAAAGACAACCGGTTGATGTAACATATTTTTTTCTTAAAATTTAGTTGAGAGTTTTCAGGTAAACGAGGGATAATCCAAATTCAACTATTTTCCCTCACCCAATTTAAATGCATGATACGACCAATGTTGACGTTGAATATGAACAATATTTTATTTAATATGTTACTTCTAAAAACGCACCGTAATGTCATTTTAGGGCCAATCGATTACAACGAAACCGAGGAAAGAAGGTGTCTTTGACATAAAAAAATCAAAAAGAATTATACGTGTTGAATACCTGTAAAACAACGTGAAAAAAATATTTTTTAAACGTCATTAGGCAGGTTCATGGCCAAAATTTGAAAAATTAAAAATATAAAACGTTTAAGGGCATTTAAACCATAAGAGCCAGAACAGATCAAACAAAATCCACAAAGGTCAACTTTACAAGAAGGATTATATACCTGATTGTCTAAATTGCCCGGCTTTGGCTATACTTTTTGGTCCTTTTTTGTTTATAGCTCTTCATATTTTTAATAAGCTTTAGATTTTCAAATATTTTGCCTCGAGCATCACTGAAGAGACATTGATTGTCGAAATGCGCATCTGGTGCAGAAAAATTGGTACCGTTAATGTTATTAGAAAACGTTGAAATATAATGATATAAATGATTGAAAAAAAAATCTGTGAACAACCAACTTGCATACTGCATGCATTATCAGTGAAGAAATCGACACTAATATCAACATCAAAGTATTCTGAATATTTTATAAAAAAAGATTGTGACATGGTAGAAATCATAGATCAACTATTAATTAATGCTCTTAATTTCAATTCATTATCATCGACAAAACTCTCCTTCACTGGACCTATACTTCATATTGGTTTCCTATTCCACATGTTCACGTTTAATCGAGTATGATTTCTCAAATGTCTTTCTGTTGTTCCGTTGTTTTCCTCTTATAGTTGATGTGTTTTTTTCGGTTTTAGTTTGTTACCCGGATTTGTTTTTGCTTAATCAAATTATGACTATTGAACAGCGGTATACTACTGTTGCCTTTATTTATCCGGATCTCCAGTCTGCTCCCCCATGAAATCCCCCGTTCTATTACATCAGGCTGAAAACGATTTTGTCTCCTTAAATTACATCGACTTGCGCATCAACCTTCTAGCTTCTCAATAATTTGACTAGGGTTAGCTGCAGAAGGCAGTGCCAACAAAAGGCTTCGAGCATTACATTCTAAGGAACATAGAATAGACTGTTAAACAACAGATCGGCATAAATTCATTCTCTGATCAAACATCTTACTTCATATCGCAAAACGTTAAAATAAACTACACTTTTCTTCTCACCATTAGAGAGTAGGAATCATAGGTCTAGAATAAACATAGTCATCCCCAGGATAACGTGAATCATGTCTCAAAGAATAATGTGTATCAATATTAATTTTGGGTCTAGCTCCAAGTCAAATTACACCGACTTGTGCCTCGGTCTAATAGTTTCTCAAAAACCTGACTCGGGCTAGCTTAAGAAGGCGGTGCAAACATATGGCTTTGAGCGTTACCTTTCAAGGAACCATGAAGAGATTGTAAACACCAGATCGGAATAAATTCGTTCTCTTATCAACTAACTTTATATCGTGAAACCTCATATTACGCTTTTCTTCTCAGTTGAGAAAGTGGGAATCTTAGGTCTAGAATAAACATGGCGATTCCCAGGATAACGTGAATCGTGTCTCAAAGAATCATGTGTATCAAAATAAACTTTCGGTATAGCTCCATAAAGATCTGACACACACCATGTACACTGAGTAGACGAATTTCTGTGAAGGGTAGGGGTAGGGGATCTGGATGGTGTGTAATCATGCTTCACAGAGGTTTTATGTGTACTATGTAAAATAGAATTGTCAGAACTATTTACCAACTCTTTGAATTCCCCATTTGACAAAATCTTATAATCTGAGTGTAGCATCAGAAAATCAATCGTTTTATCAATATTTCTGGGTTTCAATACCTTCCCGCCATCAGTTTAAGATGCACCAGTATTTATTTGCAAAAATAAAATAAAAAAGAACTAGATTTGCCATTGCAAGCAATAGCGGATGGCACCCATCCCAAATTGCAACTAAACTGCAGCCATTTTTAAAATTTGAACAGTCATTGCACATAAACACATCACAACACATCTGTCTGTAAATTTTTGGAAGTTTTGGAACATTTTTCAATTTTTCTCATTTTTGCAGTTTCCATGGCAACGGTGGCCATTTAGGAAATTCCGAGTTCAAAAGTCTCATCTTTACACACCAGTCAACAATTATTCTAAGTTTCATTAAGTTTTGAGCATTTTGAAATTGTTGGACATTTTGTTTCCATGGTTACGGTGTCCATTTCGAAAATTCCAACTACAGTTGCAACATTGACTTATGCCATGTTATATATTCATGAAGTTTCATTGTGTTTGATCTAATAATCCTGAAGAAAATGCTGCTTTGAAGTTTTTTTCCCATAGGGTCAATGTAAAACTTTTCTCTACTTTCCATGGCAATGGCAGCCATTTTGGAATTTCTAAGTACTGTTGGTACATCAGGGCACCACTGGCAACATTTGAATAAAATTTAAATAGGTTTAGAATTTTGATTTTTTTTAACATTTTTGCTTTTTCCATGGTAAGGGCGGCCATGTTGAACCACTCCAATGTCTCTTGCCCAACTTCACATAGGGGTACACATTATGGTATAGTTCCATCATCTTAGTCTATTCAATTCCGAGAAATAGCATGGACAAAATGTGTGGAAGAATAACAATAAGAAATAAATAATAAGAAAAAAAAAAAAGAAACGTAGACTAACAATATGTCAACCTAACTCCGTTGAGGGTGCCACAAAAATAAAAAAAATAAAATATAATTGAAAATTAAAAAAAATGTCAATAGCAATGAATTATAATGTATGAACGTAAATGTGACCTACCGATGATGAATGATGTCAACCGTCAGTCATAGATCTCAGTAGAACCTGGGCATTCTGAATGCAAATGAATACACCGTAAAAGTCCAATCTGAATATGTAAAAATAAAACGTTCTAACCAGATCTGGTCCTATAACAATATAAAAATCAAAATATGCATATAAATTCAAATGAACCTACAAAATGTCGCATTTAGAAATGAACACTCTAGAATGATTGAAATGAATAACTACTAATACTATGACAGGAGTACATAATTTATTTCTAAAAATGTAACAGTTAAGATTCATAAACAACAGGTCGATTTATTTCAACACTTGCAAATACAATACTCCACGACGAAAATATAAATTTATTAACATGAATAATATGACCAGACCGCAAATATAAACGGCTACTAACTACACTATCAAAATTTAAACAAAATCCTCCGAAAGCCAAATATAGAATTATATCATAATTACCTGAACATATAGCAACCGTGGTTTTAAATCAACGACCATCGGCTAATGAACTAAGAGTTAAAGCGAAAAGTAAGTAATTACAACTTTCCGCGGATGAAAGCATGCACACTTACTCGTACATATAAATGTTATTATATTTACAGAACAAATTTCAAGTCATTGCAGCTTATGTCATGTCAAATGAAACGAAGGATGACATCGTATA